TTTCATTGGTTTCATTAGAATTTAAGAGTAGGAAACCAGCAAAAATTTCATCTAAAATAGTTGGGGTTTCTGGGATTGATAAGAAGCAAGAATACATTGTTTTCTCCCTTCTTTAAAATGCCTTCATGAGGTTTTGATGTGCTAAAGTATGTTTCCATTTTAGAGTGAGGATATGAGGTCTATGAAAGAGGAACTCCACTAACGGCAGAGTTGTGTGTGTTGTGTAATTGTGAAAATCCAACCACATGGGACCAAAACATAAGCCTCTGGAACCTCAGTTTCACCAGCAGTCACCGAGATGTGATGATAACCACTCTGAAGTGATCCCTTCCACTTGCAGTTCCTGTCTGACACTCACTGTCAGACTGTGCTGATGGTTTTTTCCACCAGCCAATGCTGCATCCGGTGCATGGGGGCACATGTGGTGACTGAAGGGGGGCTCTTCCAAACTGGTCAGGTAATTAAGGCCATTAAAGGCTGTTCTGGAGGGCTGGATTTTAGCCTTTCTGATTCCACAGAATTCCTGACTAGTACAGGACAGGGTGCAACCCAAATGCTGCACAGGTGGCTACGGTTCTGCACCTGGACGTGCCCTGCAGAAAGGCTGAGTGCTGGCTATGGTTTACTGAGGTCAGTGAAAATCCAGACCATAAGCTGGAATCCCAAGAACACTGACACGTTTGCATCTGGTTATAACACTGGATTGCCAAAACAGGGGTCAGTTATGTCTGTTTCGGTTTTCGTGTGACTGTGAAATAGCATCCTTCTCATTGCTACCAGTGTTATAAAAGTGACAGTCTAAAATGATGGGAGCTTGTATGGAAGCTATGACTTCTCTAGCCATTTTAAGATGGGAAGTATGCACTGTGTGATCATGCTGTTAGAAAATACTGAAGTTGTCTGTGCGATGTTTTGAGGCACTTGGCTGTTTAAGTGTTTCATTTTCTGATGCCTGTTATGTTTTTTGATTACTTTGAGGTAGTCTTGTAAATACATGGCAAAGACAAGCTCTGCCTGTCTGGGGAACAGGGTAGGAGCTGATATCAGGCACAGGGGGAGCTGTACTTGCTCCATGAAGAGAAGCTCATATTAGGTTGCCTTTTGGTAAAGAGGAGGTTAAAGCATGACCTAGGGGCAGCTTTGTAACTGCCTTCCAGGTAATAACTGGAGATGGCATGTTCTCTTCTCAGCAGTGATACAGGGATCAATAGCCACAAATCATCAAGTCTTGGGAGGTTCAGGTTGTGCATGGGGAAAGATCTTCACTGAACAGTGCCACACTGGGCAGGTGACCTGGAAAAGACTCCTAAAACCCAAATGTTTTTTATAAGGGCTGTTCTTTCCTGCATGCTGATGGGAACTGGGGGTGTACTGACAAGTAATCTCTTTCAGTAGTGGCTTTTTAGCTGTGCAGTTCTCGGCTTCTTTTACTTCCTAGATAAGGACTAGGAAGGAAAATGAAGCAGGAGTTTACAGAAATGGATATGGTAACTGGGGGAGGAGGGGAGTACTAGAGTTTATCATAATTTATTAATGCAATAGGCTAAACTTCTTTATCATTAGGGTTTAATAGCGGTCTGTTAGCTCTCTTCTGCATTCCTTCTGTTTTCCAGGAGCATGATGCATCCTTTCTGGGGCTGTTTCTTCAATAAAGGGTATTCCTGTTTCCAAGGCAGAAATGTCACAAAGAGCTAGGTGCAAATGAAGAGATTATTCCTCACCATTTAATTTGCTGGCAAATGTAAAACAGAACACAGTTCTGTTCACAGCTACCAAGGACAGGAAGCTGAATTGCCTCTAGGCATTCACTTCATTGTGAATTTATGGTGTGACTATAATATTTGCATTAATCCCATCAGTACAAAGCACACATAAATGCATTCAGAATTATTTTGTCTTGCTCATACAATTTACATTAAGATCCATATGCAGAATTGTATTTTCACAGTGAGTTTTACACATAATATTAAATTTTTTTCTCCCTTTCTCCCATCAATATGTTGCATATTTTTAAGCCTAGCTGGGCTTAGTGCCAGCAAGGAACTACAAGGATCTATGGCAACTGCCACATTTGCACTTTCCATTTACAAATCAGTAACTAAACTCTCATTAAATATTCTTAACCAGCCTGTTCAACATATGTTTGCTTGGGTATTAGTACTTATAAGTTGAAACAAATTAGATCAGTAGCTATATTTGCTTCCTAATAGCCAAAGATATTTGAGAAAGAATAGATTTTGGAATGCAGAAGTGGCAATGCTGCCTTTCTCCTTTATTCTTTTGAAAATGGGACATTCAGCTCTGCTCAGGCGAATTAAAAAGGTGGGAATTTGAACTCCCTCCCCACATTTTAGTTCTGTGGGGACACTGGTACAGGAAGAGCTTTGACATGAAGTGAGGAAGCACCCCGTAACTAATGTGGCTTACAAATGAGGTTTTATTATGCGACACATTTTCTTGTATTTCATTCTCCATGTTTCTCCCTTTCAAACATAAATCTATTAGATAGATTATTTTTTTTATACTGAGACTTTTGCTTGTGAAGAAGCATTTTCATCTTTGTCTTCTGTCAGCACTAACTGCAGGAAGAACCACTTAACAAAAGAAAGTGTGAAATCATGGATGTTAGATTGTGTAGACCTTAGTAAAGGTTATTGTCTCTGATGAAATAGTTGTTTCATGCACTTGCAAAGATTGTTAATGGTCAGCTTTTAATTAGCTTCATTGTGTCATCAAAACCGTAGCATAAATCATGTTTTCAGGTTTGTGCAGCCTCACATGGCAGTCAGTAGCAGCTCATCCATGGTGTATCAGACACCCCTCTGAATCAGTGGGAGCATTGCAGCTTCTCCACGGGCTGTGTGGGTGGTTGTGGTGGACCAATGGTGCTCCTGCTGCACTGAGTGTCCTGCTGCCTGGGTTCTGCCTGCAGCCTCTGCCCAGCTCCAGTGCATAACTCACGTTGCCTTTATCTTTGTTTCCACAGCTCTAAAACAGGTTTAATGTCGATATGTTTTAGCAATGTTCTGCACAGATTCTGCTTGCAAAAACCTTTGACATGTATTTCTGTAAGTGGAGATTATTAGCAAGTAACAGCTTGGGCTTTTTGAGCAGTTTATAGTTTTTAGTTGTGTCTTTGTCCAACCAAGGAAGGTTAAACTGTGACGTAGTATCTTGGTGTTTCTGGAGCAAAATTCTTCAGGAAAAAACTTAGTTTTTGCCACATGACCCATGACTGTTTAAAAGTCTTTCATTTTTTTCAGTAGTCCTCCCCATCCCTGATCTTGCTTTTGGTTTTTCTAAGAAAAGCCCACCTTTTTTCCCTGGAGAGACTTGGACGCACAACTTCCTTAATTCAGAGCCAAAAGAATCAGTTGGGAAGCATATGCTGGGAACAGATCTAAACTGCAGCAAACCAGGTCTGTGTGTTAACTAGGTGACAGTGTCAGTTGGGAAGCATAACTGAAGTATAATGTACTTCAGATAGCATCCTCTGATACCTGGAATGAGCACAACTGCTAAGATCCTGCCTTTAAGAAAAACACTGGCATGCTTTGTTAAATGTGGATCCTTAAGACACACTGATTGCAAGTGTGTGTGGAGCAGTGGGGGGGATCTGGACCCTAGTAAGAGACTTCTCAAAGCTACTGGAATTCATGGATGCACTTTTCTCAGGGCACAAACTGACCTACAGGGAAGAGCAAATGCTTTCTTTGGGCTTATCTTTGGCAGCAGGTTATTCTGTCTGCTGCTCTGACCCAGGCTTGCCTGGCATGTTCAGTGTGTGACCTGCATACTGGGTGGACATAAAACTGCATTCAGCCGCTGGGCAGGTGGTGAAGAGCAAAGCACCGCAAAGGAGAATGTCGAAAGCGTGTTTGAAAACACCGTAACTGCAGGAGTGGCTTGTGTGGTTTGTAAGTGTGCTGGTGCCGAGCGGAAAAGAGAAAGGAGAAAACAAGGATCCAGAGCCAGCAGTTGCAGGCATTAACTGCCCTTCTCAACGCTGAGACTGCTTGCACTTGCTTCAGGCGAAAGGTTGATTTCAGGATTTATTTTCCTTCTGCAGAAATAGGGTTATAACCAAATGCTTATTGCCAAGTAAACGGAAATAGATGGAAACTTAAGACTTCTTTTTAAAATGGATAAGTTTGGTTAATATTTTGGTTTTTTAAGATACAGATCCTTTACAATTCTGTGGGTCCAAAGGGGATTTTGTGAAGTACTACTTGCTTGTTTTAATACATGGAAAACCTATGGAAAACATCTCTTCAAACTCTATCTGCAGTACTGCAGTGACACTAAGCTGTTTTTCACACAAAGTCTAACAGAACAGAAGTGGCTTTTATTCCGATGACAGTTTGCATATTTACTTTGGTGCATTTTTCAATACCGGTTAAGCTTGTAAGTAAATCTGTGATGCAGTGCAGTTCAAAGCCAACATGTTTTGAAAGAAATAACAGCTTTGTGTTTGGGTGGTGTTGTTTTCCTTTTTTTTAAGGAATCATAGAATTTCCTTTATTAAATGTGTTTAAACATCAGCTGTTGACTCACTTCAGTACATGATGGATAATACTTGCCTGAAAATCTGAATAACGAAGTACAGCAGTTGGCCTAAACCATTTCCATTATTGCCAGTTAGCATAAATAGTCTGTGATCTTCATCTAATCTTCTTGCCTTGCTTATTTTATAGGTATTTATTACACAGCTGCAGGGAGCTCACATAATTGACAATACTGTGTTTTAGCTCAGGATTACCAAACTTTGAGAAATGTTGTCAGCACTGTATTGCATATCTGAACTGCTGTCATATGTGAAGTTGGGCCGATAAACTTGAGGAGTGCACTTTCATGAATCTACAGACATTCCCCATCTCTGACCAGGTAAAAAATATTTCAAACCCCATTGTGTTCTGTGATTAGTAAAGGTTTAGCACCACGTTTTGTGTGCAGTTGTGTACCTTACTGTTCCCACTACCTGTATTTCATTGCGAGTAGACTTGCTTTCCCTGGGTCTTTACAACTTATTTTATTGTAGTGAAAAATGTGCCATTGTGATGTGATGGAGGAGTAGGAGCAGCAAAACCAAACTGTTTCTTGGGTCTTCAAAAGAAGTCAAAACACAGATTTCCAACCATCCATAGTTAGAGGAGAAGAATTACTGGTCCAGGCTCCAGGCACAGGGTGGGAACTGGGGTTATGTCTCCTGTTAGTGCAACATCCTTTTACTAGTTGATTATGAAATGAAGTATTTAGAGGGATTGCATTATTTCTGTTCAGTTGAATTGCTGTTTAAAAAGCCTACATGAAAAGGCTTTTTAAGGGGGGGGGGAAGACAAGCAGTCAGTGGTTAATCTGAACCTTCCTTGTTGCAGTAGATTTGATAAGCATCTGTAGACTGTTACCGCCTTTCTAATGGAGCTGCATGCAGAGAACTCCATGGAAGTACCAGCTGCAAGTGCCTCTGAAATAACACCTTAGAAATGCAGGCAGTTTGTGAGCTGTGCTAGTAAGTGCGCTCCTGCTAATGTTGCAGTATGGCTATGGAAGCGTCCCAAGTGGAAAGTACTTGAGGTTTCTGGTGATAAAATAGCTTTGGTTTTGTTTTGGTTGTTTCTTTTTCCTGTGGGTTGGCACAGCTGCTGGAAGGAAGAATGGGGGAGCACAACTTCTATTTATTTAAACTTTGGCAATATTCCCACTGCCATCAAGGAATACAGTTCCATCTGTAGTGTGTTTCTCAGTATCCCAAAGACACTACACTGTTCATTTGCAATACCTAATTGTGAATGGAAAGCTTTCAGGAAAAAAATCACACATGAGTTAGGTGTATCCATATGTATATAAATACACCAGTCAATAGCAGGGAGCTATTGCAGCCCACTATAAATACTGGTCGTTTATGCAAGTAATTATATTCTTTTCCTTATTTGCTCTTTAAAATGAACCATTCAGATTCATATGGTTACATATTACAGATGCTATTTAGTGTTGAAACAGACAGGGCAGCCAGTGGCTTTAAAGTGTTTTTAAGTAGCTGTAGAAGTCAGTGCTTGGTGTAACTATGTGTGCTAGTCTTAAGATCATGCATATATAACATGCCAAGCCACACTCTGTATTCTTAAAGACCTAGGTCTCCATCTATATTTGGAAAGTGCTTTTGTGATCTAGATTTATTAATTTATCACCTATGCCTCCATAGACTGAGGGCTGTGACATGTGTTGGAGTGTGATGATTTAACTATGTTTCTCGGGCCATCCTTCTCCCTTCATGTGAATGGTCTGCAAAACACTTGGTGTGCTGACGGATGACTCTGAGTTCAGTTAAACCTTTTGTCTTGGAAGCTACCTAACCTGCCTGCCTGGGTAAAGTGTGACTTCAGCTCTGGGTGTGGCCTTGAACACGGCCCTTGTCCCAGAAAGGAAAATCTTGAGGTCTATGCCGTAAGCCATTCCACAGCAAGCCATGCACTTCTGGACACTTGCTTCTCTTCTGCCATGGGACAGAGGAGTGACTTGCATCAAGCACTTAACAAAATCCAAGGAAAATACACTCAATTTTAAGATAACTGTGAGAGATGCTGGCTGTTGCATTCAAAATTGCCTCCTTTCAGTAAGGAAGAAATGCTCAAAGTGAGGTTCAGCTAGGAAAAAAACTAACCCAAATGCTTGAGATATATATATATATATAAATGATATACATAAGAACGCAAATTCTTTTTTATATAGGTATGGGAGGAAAAAAGGGTAAAATTGTGCCTGTATAAAAAATTAGCCATTGAAACACAGCCTTACTGAATTGCCTGTAATTGGTGAGTGATCTCACCCTATGGCCTTATCTCTACCTATGATCCTCTCGTGATATTTTCTCCTCCTGTCCAGTTGAGGAGATATTGATAGAGTGGCTTTGAGGCTACATGGTGTCCAGCCAGTGTCAACTCATCACATTAGTCAAACAGAAAAAGAGGTGAAAATAAACGCACTAAATAGAACTTCTTTGGGAGATGCTTTCTGCTGTTATTTTCTCCTCTTGCAGGCTTATACCACAGCTACTCTTTAAGGAAAGCCCAGCAGGAACAGTTCATAGAGGTCTTTAGCTCTAGGCAGTGTTACAAAACATGAATGAATTGTAAGCTGTGAGCATAAACCATTATTTTCTGAGCAGCTCTATTGAAGGATCATTTGTGTTTCTGTAATCTTGTTGGCTGTGATAGCTGTAATAGTCATCTGTTGTGTTCCATGGTGGCTGGGAACACAACAGGGAGCTGTTGTGACGTTTTTTCCTTTTTTTAATTTTATTTATTTATGGAAATGATAAATTTACTAGTTAAATCATAACATTTTGTCTCGAGGCTATCTCCAGCCTTCTGCTTCTATTTACTTTGGGAGAACTAGTAAGTGGCAAGAAATATGTTTTTAATTGAATCTGGTGTTGCACTGCTCTTCATTTGAAGGTCCAGCCAAGTGTGAACCAACCCCACATCCAGGTAACGTTGCAGAGGAGACCACTGGTAGCTGGTATTCTTAATTCTGCTTTAGGAAGTCGCCCTGTGGTTGCTGTGTGGGGGTGCTGGAGCCACTGTGGGCATTTAGTTTCATTTGTGACCTCATGTCACAGGGATTTCAGACAGCTGCAGCGTGCCTACTTAACATCCTTGGAGGAAAGGGTGAATTTGCCCCTTTTCTTTGGGTGTTCTTGTTATAACTTTAAAAGCCTTACCTGTAGTGGTGTCACTGCATGTTTTGGTGTATCTGCTCTGGCTGGTTTGGACAATTAACATCTTTCTGACAAAGCCCAAGAGAACATAGCACAGCGCGCACTCGTGGCAGCCGGTAGAGTTGGCAACACAGAAAGACAAGTAGAGGTTTTCATATTTTATCTTAGTAATTACATGCTTCAGAGGCCACAGGACCATATTTAATGGTTTAAAGTACACTGTGGAAATAAGGAGGAGGAATGTGGTATTGGATGAATTCCCAAACTGAAAAAGCTTTAGTCTACCTTTTAGCCCGTATCTTTTTTCTTACGTTATCACGCACCCTAAGAAGAAATAGCTTGTCCAAACTGATGGTTTTCAGCTTCTCACAAGATTGTTCCTGCAGTTCTGAAAGAGCCTTTCTGTTTACATACCAAGCCTAAGTTTGTGTATTGTGGCAAAAGGGCTAAAATATGGAGCTAACCTTATAATGTGTATAATGGTAACCCACATATGTTCAGCTGCCATGGCAAATAGGTGTTTCCCAATTCTGCAGTCCATCAAATATTTGAGGCAACAGAGGTTTCCTGTTCTGATAATTTGCTATAAGTAAGGGCTTTGGCCGCTTTCCTTGGAAAAGATGCAAGATGATGCATGCAGTCTTGAGAGAGTTGTTGAAGTGGGAGCTGAAGTGGTTTCCGAAGTGTTTTAGTTAAATTAATGTAGCATCTCACTGTAGACAAAGATGCTTCAGTTTACAAGATCTGCATTTTTGCTTAGCTGATTTCTTAAAGAGAAACTTAAAGAGCAGTTCATGCAGAAGGAGTTTAAATGCTACAGGTTTCTAAACAGACTGAATTAAGTTGTTTTCATGTGCAGAGCAGATTTGAGACTTTTTGTTGCTAGACAGCATTTATTTCTTTGTGGAAAAAAACCCAACAGTTAACCCATTCTAGCTGGAAATGCAGATATGTAGCTGACAATTTATATGTTAAAAACTGCAGCCTGTACCCACGTGTGTAAAAATGCGTAAGATTATGACAGTGCATCTTGTGGTGGTATTAATCTCTTTTAATTCAGTCTCCCAGAATCGAAACCTGGAAGGCAGAAGGTACTGTTAGAAAGAGATGTGATTATAAACCCCAGTTTTGAGGTGAGTGATCTAATAGCTTGAGGTACTCTTAAAAACCTGGATGAGAGTTTATTTAGTGATGAAACCTGAAACTTGAAGATGCTTTTATGTTATGTGTGTGTTTTGTGTATGATTTGTGTGTCATTGACCACTACAACCTGTGTTAATTTTGGAAAATCTCTCAAATCCTTTTCCAGTATGGATGAATTTCATTAAAGCCTTTTCCTGATGGTTTATTACTGAGGATATGTAGCTTTCAATAAAGATCAACGTCAGGATTGTGTAGACTGGCAACCTGGGATTTTGTCTTGAGCTGCTAAAGGTAAGTCATTTACATAGCAAGGATGGTCACAATTTTATCCTGCTGATCCTTGTTTACAGAAAGCAGCACAGTTTTTAGTGTGAGCTCTTTCACCTTCTCAACAACTGTATTTTTAAGGGTGGTCTGGAACTTTTGAAATCCGTGCAAGTGAATTTGCCTGAGAGATGAAGGTCAGGTTGCTTTGCTGTCCCCTGGAAGAGAAAGCAGCACAGGACACATTTGTACACCAGCACTTCGCTGTGACAGGTCTAATGTGTTGAGGAATTGGCATCTCCGTTTACTGGAATGCTGAAAGTGACCGCTGAACATTTGTAATGTTAAAAATACAAGATTTGCCAGATTACAGTCTGGTCAGAGCTTGGCAGCTTCCCACACTTCTCTGCCCTCCCTCACAACAGTAATTACAGCTCCCCACTCCTTTGTTGGCGTTCTCCTAGCTCCTGCTCACCTCCTCTCACTTCATTAATGAGCTGATGTAGTTTTTTGTTACTGAGCTACTGGCCTATGACTACATTCCGTTTTCTTTAGTCTACTCCTAACCATTGCCATGGATACAAACTTAGTTGAATTAAATACTGACAACATGTTCACAAAGAATAATGACTGGGTGATGTGCAAGACAAAGCATATTAGAAGTCAAAGTGATTGTACTAATAGGTTTTATTGAATACTAAGTAGGGTATCAGAGGGTTCTTGGAGGGATGTCTTCGCTAGTATGTCAATGTAGTGATGTTGCCATGTGCAAGTTTCTTGCAAACTGCTGTACTCAGCATTCTCTTCTGACCTTTTCAAACTGTGTTTTGTTCTTAGTTTAGTATTTTGTTCTTAGTTTAATGTCAGTTTTCAAAAAGCCTTCTGTTTGCCATAGTGCCTTAGAGATATCCATTAATATAGCTGAGATAGTATTTGTGGGGTGAACAAAGATGCTGAGCATACAAACCCCATAATTAAACATTATTTTCTTGGAAAGCAATATTAAATCCAGTTCAGCAAAACTCAAACCCCTGTTTCCAACCTATCTGGTACATTCAGTATAGGGTTTTGGCCTAGTTGGCTCTGGATGTTGTGGGCTCAGTAGCTCTGATGACCAGCAATGCCTCTGGGGAACTGCGGTTTCTGGGTTTCGCTGCTGCAGTGTGTGGACAGGGCACGGTCCAGGTGTGTCCCTTCCACCCTGCCGAGAGCTGAGGCAGCTTGGAGGATGCCTCATGAGTGAGTGGAGGGAGCCGGTGCTGCTTCCCACCTTGGGAGTTCTCAAACCCTCAAATTAATAGCGAGAAGGTGATGGGATTATGGGCAGTTTATGGGGTGCAGTGTAAGCTACAGTTGTGTGGACTGCTACCTCAGCTGAACCCACC